AGTGCATAAAAACGCAAAATTTTAACAAGAATTTGTTTTTATTATTAAATTTTATTAAAAGTGCACCAATTCATTAAAAATCTTAGTATAAGCAAAGAATCTATAGCACAAAGAAGTGCCACGCTCATACAAACGAAATACCCACTTTATTTTGCTGGTGGATTTATAATAAATCCACCCAACCTCATGCAACAATGTTCGATCGAGTCACAACTGGTATGATGTTCAGTTCAAACTCATTGCAACCCACAATTGTTTTTATACGCCTGTTTCTTTTACCCTTCTTGTTTTTATTTGTCTATTTAATTAATATACATGGATTACGCTTTGAATGAATATTTTCTACCGCACTTTCAGTAAAACGAATAGGAGACATACTTTCATCATCTAATATTGGATTTTGTGTGCTCCCGGATTTGCCATCATCATTCACACCGATCTTTTCTGTTTCAAGTAGAAATAATTCCTGTTGTTGTTATTTATTTCGTACATCGTAAAGTTCTTCACCGAAACTTTTATCTTTATCTTGTAAACATGTTTTTTTTGATGGCCCGCCACCAAAATTAAACAGGTCATCATCACTATCATCATTATCAGTAAGTACTGCAATGATTAGACGTTTATAGGCTTGCTGCGTCTCTAAATGAGCTGTATTACTGCTCCGTGGTGGCGAATTATCTATTTGCACACCTGATTTTTGCTGAAAACCTTCAACTGTAGTTTTTTCTTTCCGTGTAGTTATAATAGGTAAAGGCTTTGGTTTCGGTTTGGAAATTACGTTTTTAATGGGAGATTTTTTGCCAGTTACTTTATCACTTGTCTGCATACTTTTTTTTAATTGAAATAAATTCTCTTCTTCATTACTGTCATCACTGTCATTGATAACAATTTGATTAATTTTGTTCCGTTTACGCTTTGAATGAATATTTTCTTCCGCACTTTCAGTAAAACGAATAGGAGACATACTTTCATCATCTAATATTGGATTTTGTGTGCTCCCGGATTTGCCATCATCATTCACACCGATCTTTTCTGTTTCAAGTAGAAATAATTCCTGTTGTTGTTATTTATTTCGTACATCGTAAAGTTTTTCACCGAAACTTTTATCTTTATCTTGTAAACATGTTTTTTTTGATGGCCCGCCACCAAAATTAAACAGGTCATCATCACTATCATCATTATCAGTAAGTACTGCAATGATTAGACGTTTATAGGCTTGCTGCGTCTCCAAATGAGCTGTATTACTGCTCCGTGGTGGCGAATTATCTATTTGCACACCTGATTTTTGCTGAAAACCTTCAACTGTAGTTTTTTTCTTTCCGTGTAGTTATAATAGGTAAAGGCTTTGGTTTCGGTTTGGAAATTACGTTTTTAATGGGAGATTTTTTGCCAGTTACTTTATCACTTGTCTGCATACTTTTTTTTAATTGAAATAAATTCTCTTCTTCATTACTGTCATCACTGTCATTGATAACAATTTGATTAATTTTGTTCCGTTTACGCTTTGAATGAATATTTTCTTCCGCACTTTCAGTAAAACGAATAGGAGACATACTTTCATCATCTAATATTGGATTTTGTGTGCTCCCGGATTTGCCATCATCATTCACACCGATCTTTTCTGTTTCAAGTAGAAATAATTCCTGTTGTTGTTATTTATTTCGTACATCGTAAAGTTTTTCACCGAAACTTTTATCTTTATCTTGTAAACATGTTTTTTTTGATGGCCCGCCACCAAAATTAAACAGGTCATCATCACTATCATCATTATCAGTAAGTACTGCAATGATTAGACGTTTATAGGCTTGCTGCGTCTCTAAATGAGCTGTATTACTGCTCCGTGGTGGCGAATTATCTATTTGCACACCTGATTTTTGCTGAAAACCTTCAACTGTAGTTTTTTCTTTCCGTGTAGTTATAATAGGTAAAGGCTTTGGTTTCGGTTTGGAAATTACGTTTTTAATGGGAGATTTTTTGCCAGTTACTTTATCACTTGTCTGCATACTTTTTTTTAATTGAAATAAATTCTCTTCTTCATTACTGTCATCACTGTCATTGATAACAATTTGATTAATTTTGTTCCGTTTACGCTTTGAATGAATATTTTCTTCCGCACTTTCAGTAAAACGAATAGGAGACATACTTTCATCATCTAATATTGGATTTTGTGTGCTCCCGGATTTGCCATCATCATTCACACCGATCTTTTCTGTTTCAAGTAGAAATAATTCCTGTTGTTGTTGTTTATTTCGTACATCGTAAAGTTCTTCACCGAAACTTTTATCTTTATCTTGTAAACATGTTTTTTTTGATGGCCCGCCACCAAAATTAAACAGGTAATCATCACTATCATCATTATCAGTAAGTACTGCAATGATTGGACTTTTATAGGCTTGCTGCGTCTCCAAATGAGCTGTATTACTGCTCCGTGGTGGCGAATTATCTATTTGCACACCTGATTTTTGCTGAAAACCTTCAACCAAAGAATCTATAGTACAAAGAAGTGCCACACTCATACAAACGAAATACCCACTTTATTTTGCTGGTGGATTTATAATAAATCCACCCAACCTCATGCAACAATGTTCGATCGAGTCACAACTGGTATGATGTTCAGTTCAAACTCATTGCAACCCACAATTGTTTTTATACGCCTGTTTCTTTTACCTTTCTTGTTTTTATTTGTCTATTTAATTAATATACATGGATTAGTAACGAAGTGAATGGTAAAGAAATCCCTCAAATAATTTTTCTATATACTTTGTTGCTTTATCTTCTTGTACTGGAAAGGCCCATATCATAGGAGTAAAGAGTAATAGAATATATTATTTTTTTTATTGCAACAAATGATGCACTACAAAAACCATTATGTATGTACAAATGTGATATTGGAGACATTAAGTCTGCAGTATATTAATATGTATGTTTTTATTGCACATTTGTGCATATATTTTACCTCAAAAGGAACTACTTCTTAATAGTTTGAATTTTTGGTGACTTTTTGTGATTATTTTAAAAAATATTTTTAAGATTCATATAAAAGTGTTTGAAAAGTATTTTAAAGAAAATAAAAATATTAGAAAAGTAAGAAAAATTATATTGAAAAAATGTATAGAAGTCACTAAAACCACTAAGCGCATGAGTTTGAGGAAGTTTGAGGAAGTTTGAGGAAGCGCATGAATGCTATTTACAAAGGATTGAAATGTTAAAATTGGAAAAGTCAGAAAAAGGAAAAAATCAGATTTGAGACATAAATAAATTTGTAATGTGTTTTTACACTACAATTCATACCAATAGCAAACAGGTAATTTTGTTTCATATGCTATCAAATTCAAAAACTTATCAAATGTACACAATTTTGACTTCGTCACTGAAATGCTGTTTGATCGCTTGAACATTTTACAGCGAACAAACACACAAACATGCGTATAATGTAATACAGAGGGTTGCATGTATGATTGAATACGTATGCAGTCGGGCTTTTGTCAGCCTTACTTGACTCACATATAGGTTTGAACTGAACATCATACCAGTTGTAACTTGATCAAACATTGTTGCATGAGGTTGGGTGGATTTATTATAAATCCACCAGCAAAATAAAGTGGGTATTTTGTTTGTATGAGCGTGGCACTTCTTTGTACTATAGATTCATTGGTATAAGGTATAAAAAGTGAACTGAATTCGGAAATAGCTAAATATTTAACAAAAATTGTTTAAATTTAATGAAAGTTACTAAAGTTCAAGAATAGATAAATTTTTAACAAAAAAAAAATTATGTAAAATTAATAAAAGTATGAATTGAAAGATAGAAAAGAAGTCTTTTTTTAAGAAGAAGAAGGAAAAAGTGCTATAACTGATCATAAGAATTTGAATAAAAAGCATCACACTCAATATCTAACAGACGTAAAAGGAAACAACAGGAACTGAAGGACAGTAACGGCGACTGGATCCACCGTTAGGATACAACGGTGGCCAGGTATTCCAGCTATTAAGGATACAATTTGAATAAAAGAAAAGAATAAAAAAAAAAAAAAAACTTTAAAGCTTTAACTGCATAATTTCAATTATTTTTTTTTATTAAATTTATTTGATAGTTATTATTAATCTTATATTAAATTAAAAAAAAAAAGAAAAAAAAAAAAAGATATATATTTTATTTGGTTGTTTTATCATTTACAAGAAGAAAACTGTTTTGAATGACTTGATAACTATAATTTTTTTTTGTTTTTGGGTCAATCTGTAACATCAAAGAGAAAAATATCAACATATCAGAAAAGAAAAAAAAAAAATCCATTACAACCACTGATGTATAAATATTTATTTCTTTGTTTATTTGTTTGGGATTTTTGAATTTATAACTAGGTCACACACACACACACAGCGGTGGCTGAAGTGACGTCATTTCTGCGGCTGCAAGGTAAGCTATGAAAACAAATAGCAAACGTAAAAGAGATAACTAATTTTCTCAGTTAAAAACTGAGTGTTTTATAATTAAATATTTTTTTCTTTTGGTTTCATGTTTATTATCAGTACTACAATTTTTTTTTTTTCTCTTTTCTATTCTTTTGTTGGTGTTTTGGTTAGGGAAGTTTTTTTTTGTATATACACCAATTGTCACCATATTAAGTATAACAAAGAAAAAAAAAATAGTTGTTGAGAAAGGAATGAATAAAAACCTGGTAATCACAGTAGGTTTATTATATTATTTTTGATAAAAATATATATATATATTGAAGACATTAGTGAATATTGTAAATATTTATACATGCATAAATATTTAGTAAAATTTTATTAGAAAAATATGTATATATGAAATTCTTTGTAAATATCTATATATGTATATGAAACATTGTAAATATCTATATAGGAAATATTGTAAATATCCATATATGAAATAACGTAAATATCTATATATGAGGAAATATTTGGTAAAATTATTATTACTAGTTTGAAATTATATTATAAACGTCATAAAACAATTTCTGTATTTATAGTACAGTAGAATCGCGGAAAAGTTAACTCTCGAAAAAGTTAATCTCGCGGAAAAGTTAACAGCATTTCGGCGTCCACGTAGCGCTCTAAAAAGTTAACTTCGAAGTTAACTTTTCCGAGCGTATGAATTTTTTTTTTGAAATCAACCGTTTCTTTGCCGACACAAGCCAGTGCGAGCTCTAGTTTTGATTATGGGTATTCCCCGAATATTCTATTTTCTTTCTGTTTTGTTTTGTGCTCCAAACATATGTTTTCATTCTTGTCGCAAATTACCTTGATTGAATTGTTCGGTAGCGTTTGAGTTGATTAGTTGTGAATTTTTTATTAAAAAAATGTCAAAAATACAGAAAAAACGGCAAATCAGATTAAATTTGCAACAAAAAGTAGATATATTAAGAAAACTTGATGACGGTATTGCGGGAAATCGAATAGCGCTGCATTATGGTGTGTCTAAAGTAGCCATCAGTAAAATAAACAAAAAACGCCAAGAAATTTTAAAAACAGTGGCGGCCACTTATGAAAGTGCAGAGAAGAAAACACTCCATAAGTCGGAATATCCTGATCTGGAGGTAAACTTGTACAATTGGTTCCTGAATCAACGGCAGCGTAATTGTGCAGTGACTGGTGCCATCTTAAAATCAAGAGCTAAACTCGAATTTGAAATTCTGTATCCGGGAAAAAAATTTAGTGCAAGTGATGGATGGCTGGCAAATTTTAAAAAACGGCACGGTATTCGCCTTCTCAAAATTTGTGGGGAAATTCTTTCGAGCGATACACCGAAAATAACTCCGTTTGTACATAGTCTACGAGCAAAAATCAATGAAATGGGCATCTCCGACTCCCAACTATATAACGCAGATGAATCTGGACTATTTTATCGTTTATTACCGGACAAAACATTTGTCGCAGCAAACGAACATGCCGCACCGGGAAGAAAAACTGTTAAGGAAAGAATTACATTTTTGTTGTGTGCAAACGCAGATGGTTCGCACAAGTTGAAGCCGTTGCACAGTGTAACGAGTGCGGACAAAAATCATAAAAAATGAAGGTTATTGGAATTGGAAAAGCGGTTTACATATTGATAGGTAATACTTCTACTAAGAAAAATCTGAAATATTTTTCAAAAATTTCTATGCATGGGACCACATCTTCTCATCAAAGTCACTCTAATTAGATCTTAATTTTTTTTTTGAAAAAACCTAAGTTTATAGCAATGCACTTTCAAGCCATATATTAGTTTTTTTTAGGTACAACTCTGCATAAAATGCATATATGAGTAAAATATATAATTTAGTAAGTCCGTTAACACTTTGATTTATTTTGTTTTGATTCCTATTTTCATTTTACCGTTATTCTAAAAAAGTAAATTCGCGCGCGTGATCAGTTCATAAAAGTTAAACTTTAAAAGTCTTTTTCTCAAAATTATATCAATTTATATTTCTAATTTTTTGACAAATTACTTATTCAAGTATGTACTTAAAGAATATCTAAAAATTATTTGCATCTAGCTGCAACTTTTAATGAAATGTGATTTTTTCAGTGGCACCAATTATTAAAATTAAAGAACTTTTTGAGTTATGGCTTACAGAAACAGAAAAAAATCGTGTTGAAAAAATAAATATTATGATGGAATTTGTTTTGAAAAGATTTGGTTTTCAATTAAATAGTCAAAAACTCAAAAAGAAAATCAATTTTCTTGAAATACAATTAAAAAGAAAGTGGTTACATAGTTCGAGGATGAGAACTAAATTTATTAATAAGAATTCCGCCTGGCTTGATTTTGAGTTTAGGTACGATGACTGCAAATGTTTAGACGTAAGTACATTTTTATTTCTTGTTGCTGAAACTTGAAGTAATATCACAAAATTAGGAACCAACAACTGCTGCCTTGGAGCCTCTAAGAAGTGAAAATGAAATAAGTAATAACGCATTTAATAATAAGGGCCGTCCTGTAAAATCGTATGTTGAAAGCTGTGATAGAACAAAAAGACGTAAAGTTGAAAAACTTATATCATTGAAGTCACCAGAAGAAATTACACATGCTGCAAAACGTTTAAATTATACAGATGAAATTAAACGCTTATCGATAAATAAAGCTATCGCTTTGTGTTTTGATTTAGATTTATCGGTAAGAAAATATAATATTTTGCGGTCGGTGATACATGCTATGCATCCTGATTGCTTTCCAAGCTACCACCTTATAAAGAAAGCAAAGGAAGAATTGCTACCTAATCCTATTTTTGTGTCGGAATCTTCAGCAGAAGTGCCGCTCGAAACTTTGCTTAATGTAACAGCTAAAAGCTTATTAGCATTAAACAAAATTAATTGCAGTATGAAAATTTTATTAGAATGTAAATGGGGTTTTGATGGCAGCTCAGGTCATAGTACTTATAAACAAACATTTCCTAATGAAAACGCTACCGATGAGTTCATGTTCATTGTGGGGTTCGTTCCACTTAAAATGACAAATAATATCAACAATGATCTCGTATGGGAAAATAAAACTCCTTCTTCAATAATGTACTGCCGGCCAATAAAATTTATATTCATGAAAGAAAATCGAAATTTAATACAATCTACAGAAAAACATTTGTCTCAGCAAATCGACAAACTTGAACCATATTATTTCAAAATTGACAACTTTGATGTTGAAGTTCATTTCAAAATGTATTTAACAATGATTGATGGAGCAGTCGTAAATGTATTAACTGAAAATAGATCTTGTAGTACTTGTTATCTTTGCAATGCCACCCCTTCAAAAATGAATATTTTAACTGCAATTACAAGCCCACCAAATGAATTAAATCTTCAGTATGGATTATCAACGTTGCATGCCTGGATAAGAAGTTTTGAGTGTGTATTAAAAATTGCTTATAGAATACCTTTAGGGTGCTGGAGAGTTACTACTGATGAAGCAAAAGAAATTTTTAATAAAAATAAAAAAGAAATTCAATTAGAAATACGAAATAGAATGGGATTAATTGTAAATAGAGTCAAAACAGGCTACGGAACATCAAATGATGGAAACACAGCTAAAAAATTTTTCTCTAAATTTGAATTAGCTTCTAGTATTACTGGAGTTAACACAGAGTTTATAAAAAATTTGTACATAATTTTATGCATTTTATCAAGTGGTAAAACCATAAATTTGTTAACATTTAAAGATCTTCTACAAAAAACTCAGGAAATTTATATAGTACATTACTCATGGTACAATATGCCAGCAACTTTACATAAAATACTGATTCATGGATGTGAAGTTATACAACATTTCAATATACCAATTG